CGGGTCCGGACCCGGCGGCCCGCGCCGCGCGAGGCGCAGGTAGGAGCGAGGCTGATCCCGTCCGGCCAGGGTTGGCTTAACGGAGGGGTGTCCACGACCCCGATGCCTTGAACCACGGTGGGACGCCGTGAAAAGTCAGAGTGACCATTTAAAAACGAGACGTAGGACGCTCAATTAAAGAATAACCACGGACGCCTTCTAGTTGTCAAGTGCCGGGGATAAAAGATGAATGAGGACCTTTCTTGACTAAAGGAGTCTGGTAGCTGGAGACACACGGGTAAACACTGGCCCTATAATGCGATTAATGCAACAGTGGGATGAATACATACAATAGCTAGGAAGCCAGGAAAGAGAAGTCTCAATTAATGCAGCAGAGAAAATGAACAGACTGAAAGTCTAAAATAGATTTAAGAAGGATAGGTAAATACACAAACAAACGCCCAATAGAATATTCAGCAGAAGCTTCGGACGTACCTACTGCCAGTTGCTTATTCTCTGCTCCGTTTAGGGTGATCTTCCCCCCTCCCCCCGAAGTCTACTACAGGCCTCTTCTTTCTCATGAGGACTTGAACCTGCATAGACCTTTCTCTCTTTTTGGCTTCCTGTGTTTCTCATTTATACCGTATATTTGGGAGGCTGACCTTGGCCAGCAATCTAACCTCTTACATCTTCAGTTTCTTCATTTGAAAAGCAGGGGGAGTAGTGCTGACCATGAGAATGGTTAAGTATTAAATGAGATTATGTGCTCACATGCTTTCTAAATGGTAATGTCTATATAAGTTAGAAATCTTTCCAGCAGTTTTAGTAATAGTGTGTATATACTTATATTGCTCTGTTGTTTTCTTTAGGCTGAGCACGCCGTCACATCCTGGCCACCAGCAAATCTATTGGTTTTACCTCCAAAATATGTCTTGACTTTGCTTCTTTACCACCACCCTGGTCTAAGCCCCTATCATCTCCTACTTGGATCAGGGTAAGTGCAACTTCCTTTCTCATCTCTTCTTAGCTGTTTTCTGTTGACACTTCATTTCAAAGTGACCTTTGAAGAACATGTATCTCCCCACTAAACTATGGAGTAAGAGTAAAGCCTATAATTCCTGCTGCGTGCCCAGACTCTGGATAATCTGGTTTCCACCTGCCTCTGAGCTCTGGCCCTCCCTCGCTCTGCTGAAGCCACACTGCACTTTGGCTTGTTCTCTCACCTGCAGAGTTAATTTCTAGCCCGAAGGCTTTTGTCTGGAATGATCTTTGAATGGCTGGATCATTCTCATTTTTAGGTTGGATCTCAGTCTATGTGTCATTTCTTCAGAGAAGCCTTCTCCAAGTTGGTTGTCCCCCATTAACACCCCATTTATTTCCTTTCGAGAACTTGTCCCCATTTATAATTTAAACTTATTTACTTACATTTGTTTTTTTCTGTCTGCTGCACCAGTATGTGAGTTTCAAAGGGCAAGTTCGCTATTGTATTTCTAGTTTCTGCGGGCCAGGCATAGTTATGTTTTCAATATACATTTTCTGTAGTGTTGGAAGGGTGGGCCCCGGTGACTGGCCTAGTTATAACCCATCTTAGATTCTGTGATTGTAGTGTTACCTCCTTCATGAGATCCTAAGCGATCTGTGAGTGTAAGCCAAGTGCTGTTTACCCTTTGCACATAATGAGTGTTTGGCAAATACTGAGTCGGATTGATGTGATTTTCAGGATATATGTTTAGCCTTTTGAAGATGCCTCATTACCGTAGTCTCCAGCAGAATGTTCACTGATGTGGAGATAGAACTGGGCTGGATGGACCTTTCCTGTGTCTCATTTATGCTGTCCTCACTGCCTGTCTGGTCTTCCCAACAGGCCCTCAGTCTTCTGGGAGAGAGTGTGAAGATGCTGAAAGAGCGTCCAGGGATGGCGGAAGACCCTCAGCCGCAAATGGGCGTGCCTGTGGTCAAACTAGAGAAAGAGTTGCCGTGGGGCAGGGCAAGGGAGGACCCCAGTCCTGAGACTTTTCGTCTGCGATTTCGGCAGTTCCGCTACCAGGAGGCGGCAGGTCCCCAGGAGGCCCTCAGGGAGCTCCAGGAGCTCTGTCGCCGGTGGCTGAGGCCTGAGCTGCACACCAAGGAGCAGATCCTGGAGCTGCTGGTGCTGGAGCAGTTCTTGACCATCCTGCCTCGGGAGTTCTACGCCTGGATTCAGGAGCATGGCCTGGAGAGCGGCAGGGCCTTGGTGGCCATGGTGGAGGACCTCACAGAGAGAGCCCTGGATGCCAAGGCGGTGGGTGAGAAGGGGTATCTGGGCCTTGTTTTGTTGGTGTGGGGAGGGGAGATTTAAAGAATTGAAAGGTTTGAGGAAGCAGTGGGAGTGGGTGAGGTCCAGAATCTCCCTTCTCTTCTCCCAGGCTCCCTGAGGTACTTTTCTGGAGGGCAGAGGGGTTTTCAGCAAGGAAAGCCATTCTCAAGGAAGGTGCAGGGCCAGTTGAAGGGCAGTTAGCTACTTTTTTGATCACTGGGGCAGAGGCCTGGCCATGTTTCCTTTGTGAGCCTCAGGCCCAAAGAAGGCAGTTGTGATCATTTTCTAGGGCCCTGGTGGACCCTTTCCTCTCTGGGCAGAGATGCCTGTGGGAATGCAGGGAACTCCACTTGGTGAATATTCTTCCTAAGGAGAGTTGTCTGTAGCAGTGCTGTTTCCACGCCTGGGGCCGTGGCTCGAAAGGCCCACGTGGCGATTCTGTGGTGGTGTTCTGCTGACACCAGGTGACTTTGCACCTCAGATGCTCCCGTGGGATTCTGGCCATGTCTCTGTCCCTCTCTGGTACAGTTCCCTGATTGCTGTCTGGGAGAGAGAGCAGGGCTGAACCATTACTGTTTTGCTTGAAGGTAACAATCCTTCAGTTTCTCCTCCCTTTTCCCACTGCAGTCCCTCTGACTTCTGTATAATCCTAAGGGACTTTTTGTTTGTTTTTTGTTTTACTCTCTACCAAGGAGCTTAAAAGTGGACCAGGAAGGGCCAGTTTTTGTGAGCTCTAATTTTCCTTGCTGTTTTTAGAGCAGCTAATTCACCGTAGAGTCGAGGCTTGTGTTTTTTACTCTCAGCATCTGTAACTGAGGAACCTTTTTTGCTAATAGTTTGTTTTGGGCAAAAGTTCTCAGTGAAATAATAGTAATATCTCTCTGTGATGTTATTCATGGTGGAATTGGATCAGTATCAACGCAGGCAGAAGGGACCCTTGTAAAATGACATGGATACGTGAAAGGTGCTCAGAGCCGGGGAAAGACAGTTTGGCTTCCTTTTCACCTTTCACTGGTGTCCTGGGGAAGAGCTGAGCCAGCTTGTCCTTTCTCTCTCCTGCAGCTGGAACGGTTCTCTTTTTAGGTTTTAATTCAACTGCTTTCATGACAGCCTTATGCAGGGTTCGTTCTAATAAGTGCTGGGGACTGTTTGTAGGTTCCGTGCCACGTGCAGGGAGAGCAGGAGGAGACGGCGCTTTGCAGAGGCCCTTGGGAAGCAGGCGTCCACCTGGGGCCTGTGGAAGTCAAGCCTGAGTGGGGGATGCCCCATGGGGAAGGCGTTCAACGTCTAGACCAAGGCGCTGAGGAGCAGCTCAGCCAGGACCCTGGAGGTGGGATGCAGGCCTTCCAGGAGCAGGGTAAGATGCGAACAATAAGGAAGAAAGGGCACAGAGAATGGTGCTTTGTGCCCTGCCCCTTCCCCTTTCCTTTACAAACCCTGTAGCTCATTGGGTTACCTGTGGGGTGTAATTCTGAGTTTTCCTGGCTACTTCCTGGACTTCGGTAGGAGACAGAGGAAGTGAGACTTTCTGTACCTTGACCTCTCTGATTTCTGTGAGGGGTATCTGGGATCATGCTGTTATCATTTCTTTTCGGTAACCTCACACCCCTTCTAGAAACTTGCAGGACATAAAGAAGCTGACATGTAGGGATATTTTTTAAGTGGGCAGATAAACCATATCCCGGAAAGTAACGTGTGACTTTATCGTGTTCCTGAATCTCAGGGGTGGTTCCCGAAGTGTGACTAGGGAGCCTGAGCAGCCCCGAAGGGGCAGGGCGTCTCAGGCGGGGAAGGTGTTCCTGGCTGAGGACAGGGGAGGGTGCACTCACACCGCTGCCTGTCTGGAGCCTCCTTTCGGTTCCTGGGGTTGTGTGTGTCAGGCAGTAGATGCCTGTGAATGTAAGCTCGTGCCTGCAGGTCAGCGCTAATCCTGCTCGTGTTTTGTTTTCCCTTCTCAGCTCTGCCGGTTCTTCAGGCTGGTCCTGGCCTCCCTGCAGTAAACACCAGAGACCAAGAGATGGCAGCTGGGTTCCTTACAGCCGGACCCCAGGTGAGCTGCAGCCCTGCCCCTCCAGGGGTCTCGGTGTTGCTTTGAATGAGGTTCGCCTTCCCCGAGGTTCTGAGGTTCTCTGCACAGCAGAGCACCATCCACATGGTTGAATTACTCTTCCTTTCTTGTTCTGATGGATGTGACAGCTTTGTTTTCTCCACTTTACTGTCACTCATTGTTAATTTGAGTTGAACCTTATGCTTTAGGGTCCAGGCATGAAGCTCAATTGACTCATATTGCTCTTTGATTTTTTTTTTCTCAGTTGACTGAGTTTACCCTTAAAATTGTAAGGAGGAAGACATTATTGATGGAAACCCCACAGGTGAACTCTAGGCTGTGGTGGTTGGCCAGGAGATCAGGTACCCTTTGTGGACAACCCTGCTGCTCTTCCTCTGGACCCCAGCCTCCCCCCATGTCTGCAGGGTGGGCTGACTCAGGGTGGGGGCTCCCAGGAGCCCTGAGCAGAGTGGTGTCTCTGGCCCCTACTGTGTCCACAGCGGGAGTTTTGGCCTTGTTCGTACTTCTTAGCCTGCCACAAATGGGCTAACCAGAGCACAGATGGGGCACTCTTGCCACCGTGTAAATCTCTTCTGTGGGATGCCCTGGATGCCCAGGGAAGTAGGGATTTCCAAGGTGGCATCTTTCTGAATGGGACAGTGAGCCTATAAGTGAAGAATTCCTTATAGAAGAAAGGATGTCATTGGCAGAAGAAAAGGAATGAGTCAGGTTTGAGCAGTACTTGGGCAGGGGTGATGTCTGTGCCATTTCCTTTTTGTGTTTTCCAAGGACATGGTTTGGAGGTGATGAAGAATGACACCAGCATTTATGAATTTGGTCAGAGTCCCCTCTTCTACCATGAGAGTTCTTTGTGGAGTCGTGAAGGACAGGGCATTCATTTTAACGTGGCTTTGTTCTTAAGACAGGGCCTACCCAAATGTTTACTTATCTCTGAGGGAACATCAGTTCCGCATGAGAGGATAAATAGCAGCTCTCAGTCTCCATCAGATGTGAGGATCGAGTGGAGGGGATTGAATGGTGGAAATTAGATGCTGTGGTTTTGGGTACAAACTCAGTGGCTGCAGCAGAGACTCAAAAATATGGTGGCTCAGACAAATGCATCACTTCTGTGTCGAGAAGGAGGCACTTCCGGTCCCAGGGCCGTGTAGGGACCCCAGTTCCTTGTGTCTTGTTGCTCTGTTCTTCCCCGGACTGTTGTCCCCTCTCTGTCTGCTTTCCCGCTGCTCCTGCTTTGGGATTATTTTCTTTGTCCATAGCAGTCTCCTGTGTTGTTTCAGGGGTTGGGCTCATTTAAAGATATAGCCCTGGCTTTCCCCGAGGAGGAGTGGAGGCACGTGGCCCCAGCCCAGATAGACTGCTTTGGGGAATACGTGGAGCCCCAGGACTGCGGGGTCTCACCTCCAGGTAAGACTGTTTGCACCCCAAGTTTGGAAAGCTATGGGTTAGAGTTCTTGCCTTTGCCCCAGATTTCGGACCCTGATGCTGTGGTAAAGGAAGGGGCTTCATGGCAGATGGGTAAGCGGGTCTGAGGAAAGAGCGTGGACCAGGGCATGTGGGGAGCTAGCAAGGTGCTTTCCTGTGTCAGGAGAGGAGCAGACAAGGGGGTAAGAAAACACGAGGTGGTTATTCCAGCTGCGATGGCACAGGTCGGTCATTAGGATTCCGAGGGAACGCCTGCTCTGCGTCTGACTGAAGGTACGTTCTCAGGGCTGGAGAGTGACGGAAAAGCGGCAAAAGAGGGACGCTCTGGTTTCGATTACCAGCAGGTGTTCATGGAGTGCCCCCTGCGGGCAGACCCCACGTTAGCAGCTCTGTATTGGGGCAGGACTGACCTCCGGGGAACCGCAGCGTGTGTGTGGAGGGCATGAGGCTGCACGGTCAGACTTTAGAAACGGGAGAGGTGGGTACAGGCTCACGTCACAGAGCAGACAGAGCCTCTGTGGGGCTATGCGAGGGGGCGGCCGGTTTTACCTGGGAGCTGGGTGGAGATGAAAGGAGAGCAGCAGGAGAGGAGAGGAGGGAAGTGCGGGGTGAGGGCCCTACGGGCAGGGCAGGGGAGGCCCCGCAGGGGCTGAGGGACGGCCAGGTGAAGAGCAGCAGGGATCATCTCGAGACGTGGCGAGAGCAGTGGCTGGAGGAGGAGAAGCGTGCTTGGGAGTGGCCCTCTCCCTTGTTCCCTCTGATTCTCTCCTTCAGCTTGTTGGTAAGTTATGTGTTGACCACTCATCTGTACTGACGTCTCCTGGTCTTCTTCCGTCTTCAAATATGTTGAGGGATGAGCAGGTGTGTCGTTGTACAGTTGACCCATGAACAACATGGGTTTGAACTGTGCAGGTCCACTTAGATGCAGATTTTTTGAATAAATATGTACTGCAGTCCTGCACCATCCGCTGTTGGTTGAGCCTGCGAATGAGGGACCTCAGATATGGAGGGCTGACTGTCAAGTTAAATGTGGATTTTCACTGCCCCTGGTCCTCCGTGTTATTCTCTTCAGGAGAGGAGAGGACCCATCCTGGCCACACCACATACTAACTGTGACCTCTTCTTGCATCTCGCTTACCTTTTGGATCTGCTTTCTGAGTCCTATAATGAGGATATTCACAGAACACTGTCTCCTGGAGTTGTGAGGATTAAGTGAGATAATAAATGTAAACATTTGGCGAGTGTGTATGTTAGGTATTTTTATTAGTTGTGTAAATGTTATTGAGAGATTCCTTTATGGGCCAGTCAACATTCATCCTTTTATTCCCACAAAAACGTTTATTTGGCACGGGCTCTGTGGCCAGCACTCTTCTGGTCCTCATGGAGAGCTGCAGAAATACAGGAGCCCCCCTCTGTGACCTCGGCAGCCCCGGGAAGAGCCCAGGGCACGTCCCAGTGGGCGGCACGGGGTAGTGTCAGTGGCACAGAGGAGGGGGCTCAGGAGGCCTGGGCCCAGGACTGGGTCGTCACCCATGACGAAGGGATGTAAGTTGCTGTGATGCTAGAGGGCGTAGAAACCCTCAGCGCTAACTGCACAGCCCAGGAGCCCGGGCACGGTGCCCCCACGAAGGTACCCACATCCCAGCGCCTTAATCCTTCCCCTAGGGATGTGCCTCTGCCCGTGATGCCCCTGTGTGGGGTGAGGGTAAGGACTCTCCCCTCCTGTTCCTGGCAAGTTTTTACACCTTCCTGGCCATTTCCGACTGTTCCAGAGACTGGCTGTGTGCTTGTCCTCTCACTGCTTGCTGTTCAGAACAACCCAACACTTCGCTGACGTTTATGCTGAGGTCGGCTCACCCGAAGGTCCTGTGGCTGTCTCAGCCTTGAGGTCTTCCTGAGATTCATGGCCACCTGATGACAGCTCTTGGGCTGACAAATGTGTAGGATTGGGCCTGAGAAAATGAGCATAAGTTCCATGATTTGTGATACTGAGCACGTGCTCACATTTCCCCAGGGTCCAGCTAAGGTTCATGCATTGCATTTAGTCTTAATTTTGCTTAAAAAAAAACCTAAAAAGGGAGGAGCCTATAGCTCAGTGGTAGAGTGTGTGCTTAGCATGCACAAGGTCCTGGGTTCAATCCCCAGTACCTCCATTAAAAAAAATAATATGAAAGAAAGTTTTAGTTTTGCTGTTTATAATACCTCAAAATGGGAAACCAAAATGAACATGAGTCAGATTAATAAGTAGAGAGTAATATGTTCTTAACAGTGTAATGTCACACACGGATGAGAAAGGATGTGGGGCAGCTACAGCTGCTCACCCCCATATAGGTGAATCTCACAGCACAGTATTGAACAGGAGAATCCAGACACAGCGTGTGAAGCCAGCACGTCCAGTTCAAGAACAGGCAGGAATACTTCATGGTGATAAAAGCCTGGAAGACGTGCTACACTGGGGGCAGGATGTCATCACTGGAGGGGAGGGGAGAGCTTCCTTTCCT